TTTTTGGTGATTTTAGCCAGTTTTGTTCTACCGTAATCTAGATTACTTCTGTTGAAGGTCTTTTGTTCCAGATGGATGCTGATTTTGCTCTTCTTCTGAAGAGAACTCGAGGTTTTGAGATAAGACCGGTTCGAGGAGATGGCTCATGCATGTTTCGCGCTGTGGGTGAGTGTTACCACTATCTCGATTGTAATATGCTTAAAAAACACTTCTTCAGCTGACCAACTTTATGCTGATCAGGAGATGCATGGAGAAGTGAGAAGACTCTGTATGGATTATATGGTAGGTCTAATGTTCACTGCCTTTTGCTTACGGTACGATTATCTTGTCATTCAGGCTCGTAACCGTGACCACTTTGCTCCATTTGTTGCTGAAGATTTTTCATCTTATATTGCTCGTAAACGAAGACCAGGTCAACATGGAAACCATGTCGAGTTACAAGCAATTTCCGAGATGTTTGCTCGTCCTATCGAAATCTATGAATACAGTGAAAGTAAAGATGATTACGTTTTTGCTCACGCTCTAGTTCTTTTTTTTAATTTTTTAAAATTTTCAGACCCTCGAAACATCTTCTACCCTACAATAAATAGGCTGGAAGTGCTTGTGCCCATCCGCCTTAGTTATCATGGTTCATCTCACTACAACTCTGGTAAACAGTTTTTTCCCATTCTTTATTTTTCATCTTTTTGCGAATGAGCCCACGTTTGATGCCTTGTTGTTTTTTCTATGCATGAAATTTTTTTTGACTTTTCTCGCTAAGTTTGACTTTTCATCTTTAATACTTTTTGTGGTTGGATTGATTTACTTTATAGAAACATCTCATCAGTTCGAATACTATGTATTCTTACCAGCTAAGCAACCTTGATTTTCAGCGGTTTAAATTTTTAATATTCCGAAGTAGAACTGTTTCGTAAATTTAGTTGTGGATCCATTTGCACCGGCAGTTGGAGTAGGCTTGGGACTTCCTGGCTATGTTGCCACTGGACCGAACAACTTGCGTCAGGCTGTCAAAGAAAGCAGTGACCGAAGTGTAGAGCAAGCGATAGTGCAAAACCAACTCCAACAAACAGATGTTGAACGAACGGAAAGAGAAATCAGTGAACAGGTAAACCTGTTCATATCAATGATTTAAGCTAGAAAGTTCATGACGGAAGTTTGGTTCCTAGAGTCATTGATTGTAATTTTTGTGTGAGAAGATAGTGAGCG